AACTTTTGTTGAATCATTACTATTTTCTAGTGAGTTAAATTTGAGGTAACGTTTGACTTTAATGCAACATTGTTTGGTCTTTCTTAAGATTTGGTAAACTTTAGCTGTCTTTAAGGGTATTTAACTCTACTTTGCTGAGTTTAAGAGTGCTGGACTTATGATTTGAAGTAGTTTTATTCATCTTCATTAATTATAATTTTGATATCAACTTCTAATGTTAACCTTGGGGTTTAGCTCCTTTTCAACTTTTGAATTAAAGGTTTTAGTTTAACTTCTGTGGGGGGGGGGGGGGATACACCGAGCAGATAAGAGCTTTAAATTAAAAAATCAATATTTCTCTTATAAGTTCAGTATGCAACACTGAACATTTGTCTTTATTTTGTTTTGTGTAAATATATACTTATGAAGATATTGGTGTCGAGTCTCTTTCTTACATGATCCCAGCTGTAGATCTGAGAGAGCTATGTACTGTGTAGACTGTTATTTTTCGAACCTCCAGTTAGTGGGTCTAACTGTCTACTTTGCAGGAAAATCCAGTTGAATGAGAAATACCACACAACTAAGAGAGTAACATCTGCCTATGTGGTGAAGAGGAAGATTGTCAAATTTTAATCTTATATAACTAGTAATAAATATGTTTTTATTCTGATAGGTTTATCCAAATGATCTGCAAAAGTTATAGGCATCCCTGTAAACTAGATATACAAACACTGTAAACTTGTGCTAATCCTCTGGCTTAGATAAAAGTTGTGTACTAGAATAATTGTTCTGTGGTGTGACTAATATTTGATTGGTACTGTTTCTGTAGTAGGACCTCCTGTAGTTTGGTCGTGCTCATTTTGAGGACTGGTACAGAGATTTATAGCACTTAGTTTGAGTTGGGGGTTTATTTCCCTTAAATATATGCGATGGGAATAATTACTGACGCAGATATCAAGGATTGCAAAATACTACACCAGAACAGTGATGTGACACAACAGTATGGTATCATTATCATTCTTCTTATTTGTATTTTGGTCTGACCTGATTTCTTCAGCTTCAGCCGACAAATTTTGAATGCTGAATATCAAAGCTAGCCATTATTGGTAAAATCCCGGCATACTTTTATTTGTGAATAAAGACTTTATTTGTTTAGTTATATTTTCTTGTTTTTCAACTTGGATGTCTTGTTTAAAATTATTCTGTTACGAAAGCGGAAGTCACGTGACGCTGCTGGCGCATGCGTGACTGAATTTATCAAATTATTGGACTCCGCGAATTTTGGAGATACTTCTTCGTTAGTATGTAAGCCTGGCAGAGAAAAGCCAGGGGATGATAAAGCGAACAGTAATTACAGTGAGTTTCGGGTAATTTACGATTCTGTTTCGAGCTAGTGTTTTGCACACGTAGAGAGAGAAGTTATCGAGATTCTAAATCACGTGTATTATAAAAGTTGTTAAGTTTAAAGTGACGAGAAGCGCACTGACTGTGGAATTACCGTGTACTAAAAGTTTGTATCGAGAAAGAATAAACTGGTTTAATCAAGAAAGGACTTTTGCTGAAGTTCCTCGGAAAGAATTTCTACCGGAAATTAACAAACAAGCAGATACGTAACAATTCTCTGCATAATGTTTCCAGATCATGATGTATTTTGTACACTTGTTACTTTTCTGTCAGACATCAATGCACCTGAATATCACACCTACAAGGAAGTTATGGAGTGACCAAGTAGATATATTTCTGTAACTAGTTGCTTCCAGTATAATTGGCTGAAATACAACATAACATATGAACAACAGAGGACCATTTGGTCTTTCAAGGCTGTCCCTGGAAATTCACAAGTGATAAAAATCTTCCCTTTATTTAAGAAGAAATTAGTTATTCTACTTCTCAACTCATATAAAGTGCCATCCTTTACTAATGCCTACAGTAACTCATTCCATAAGCCAATCATCCTGTTAAAAAATAAAATTTTCTTAACTGGAGTCTAGCCTTTGTTACCCTCCTCTGAACCGTTTCCAATAAATTAAATACTTTTCCTAAACAAAGAAACTACAAATTTGCATAGCATTCTAACTGAGCTTAACTAGTTATGTGTTTAGGAATAATTACTCCTCTTGACTTTTAGTTAACGTCTATAAATACACCCTAAAATTCTATTAGTTTTGGTTCTAGCGATAGAGTACTAGCTCGATGGCTTAAGTGACTTATCCACCACCTTGCCATATCTTTAATTTCAGCCATGCACACTACATGTAATCCAAATTATGATAACCCAATTCATTACCTTGCACTTATTATAACTGTCATTTGTTAAATGTTTATGCAACTAATTGATTTAAGTCATTGTGTAGTATCTCAACATTTTCAATACAACTAGAAGTGTCGTAAGCAGGTATATTATGCATTTTCTAACATGTTTGCCCCTGCTCCAGTAAATTATTATAAATTTCTGTATTTTATTTTTGAGTTCAGTTTGCACACAGAGAGCAACTCAACTTTTTTCTTACACATACACGACACGAACTCACTAATTGGCAATTATTATTGTGTTCTTACAGAGAACAATCAGAAGATATTCGTGCTATTTGGAGATAGATGGTTATTTTCTGTTGGCAAACTGGATAATGGCTAAAAGCTACCATACCCTTTGCTTGTATCACAGTAGATGAAAGTAACTTGTTCAAGTTTGTCATTGTGTTTGGTATATAAAGCCAGTTGAAAAATGTAAAAAAGTCAACAATTAACATCTTTAGAGCCTCTGGGAAGATTCGAGAACGGCGACTGGAGAGAGATGAAATTTGTAATGTGGTGTAAGAAATATAACACAAAGGTGTTGGGAGTTTTCTACACCCCTTCCTGAAATATCATATCAAAGGGATATCGACAGCCACATTCAAGAAAACTGTGAGATGATGAATTTTATAGGTGATAACACAAAAAGATGAAAGGACTCAACTTTTTCTTATAGAAACATTAATAAGCCAGATTAGTTGTTTAACCTAACTGGTCAAGGTAAAATAAGATATGAGAAGAAGAATCACATGGCAAAAAAGACTGTCAATTGCCTTGAAAGGGAGCAGAGCAAGATAATAGTGAACTGTATGAACGGGGCAAGAAGAGGATTAGGATCTGATTTATCACATAGAGAACAATGGGAAGGTGGGTGGTTAGAGATAATAACCAATCACCCTCTAGAGCAGCCCAAATCATTGGGAGGAAGGAGAGGTCTGGGAAGAAAATAAACCTGTCCTTGTGGTAAATAATGAAGGAGCCATCCAATACGAAAATATCAGAGAAAGATCTCCTGCAAGCGAGAAGAAAACGTGTCTTAAGTGAAAGATGGAAACAGGTGGACAAAGGTTCAAATACAGGACGTATATAAGAGCCCTAAGAACTAAACAGAGGTTTCAGTTTAGAAGAAGAACCTGATTAGAAAGGCTCATAACAGATCCACGAAAACTAGAGAAAGAAAAGAACGGCCAAGGAAGACATGGAAAATTATTGACAAAGCAACATTGTAATTGGTAACCATAGAAATATATTGCTTTTGAAGAGCCAGATAAAAAGTAAGTAAGATGAGGAAGATTTAGATGACTTTGAGGGAATGGTGATTGGACCAGCATCAATAAGTCATCTATTTGCAGTGTAGATGGACGACAAGAGCAACTAAGAAAATGGGCTTCTCTACAAGTATTGCAAGTGACTGTACAAAAGTCACACGAGACAATGAAGGCGTGGAACGTCGTGATGAAAGATAAATATCCAAGGCTGACATAGATCAGGACCTCCAAGATAAAAGAGATAAAGGCTCTGAGATTGCCAATAGGTGAATAAGCAAAAATAATGACTTGATCAAAGAGAGGCAATAAGAAATAGTTGGCAAACGGTGTTGTGAATTACAGACAACACACTGAGAGGATGTTGAAGAGAAAGATAGGCATACAGAAAGGGGTGGATCAATCCAGATTAAGAAGAAATACTGCCAAAGGCCATAGATGCTTAATTCATAATTTTTAATGAAAAAGGACATGACCTGAAATAAAAGTTTCTGGTACACATAAAGTGTTCATGGGGAGTACTGTCCAAGAAATATAAGTTGCCCTACTATTGGTGGAGGTTATAGTCTAGCATCATTAGATTACTACAGTACACAGTTTTTGGCAGTGGTGCAAGGTATTAACTAACTGTTCTGTGAATTTCTGCACTTAAGTTAGAAATTTTCTAGGACTAGGAATTTGTATGTTTTACTTAAATTATATTTTAACATTTTGTTTGAAGTCTGAATAAATAAACTTTGTAATAGACATCTAACACTGACACAAATACACATACAGCCAATGTGACAGTTGTAGCATCAGCATACATGCATATAAAACTAGTGTCAGAGCTGTAGCAACAGCATACATACATGTACAGATAGTGTCACAACTGTAGCAACAGCAAACATATATTTACAGCTGTGTCACAATTGTTGCACCAGAATACATATATGCACATTCAGTGTCACAACTGTAGAACTAACAGAACTGGGAAATTAATGGAATATGCTAGTCGACTGATGTTCGGTCTCATTACTTGATTTCATTCAACTAATAGGATACTATAACACATGACTTAGAAAGTTGGAATAATTGAAACACTACTTTTGATTAGTTGGTTATTTTCATTATATAAATAGATTTGATCATAACTTTGATCAATCAATTATTTCACCTCACACTAATCAATGTAGTCGATAAATCACCCAGGTCTAGCATACATACATGTAAAACTACTGTCACAGTTGTAGCACTAGCATATACACATGTAAACCCAGTGTAACCGCTGTAACACCAGCATATATACATGTACATCTAGTCTAACAACTGTAGCACCAGCATACACACATGTACAGCCAGTATCACATAAATTAAGGTGTTTGTAAAATTATGCAACTGCAAGATCCTTTTGCTACAACAGAAAGATAACTGACTGTAGCACTGACAGGTTTACAAAGTAAGAGAGACACAAACCAGAAAGCCATGCACATGATGTCTGCAAATTTGTTTAATTTGAAGTGTTTGTGCATCACATACACTAAATGTTTGCTAAAAGGAATAAAAATCCCAATATATATATATAAAAAAACAATGATTGGCAAGAACATATTTATATGACTACAAGAAGCTGGACAGTGGGAGCATTTTGCCATTAGAATTCATCCAGTTTCACTCATGCAAAATTATAATTTTGCTAATTTTGTTTTTACATGAACTTCTCATGTTTTTACACATTTTACTTGGCAAATGTCATGTCATAATTAAAATCCATAATTATAGAAAGGTTTTTAAACATTTGGGAAAAATATTGTGCTTTTTCAACCTTTACAAAGGCTAAGCATAACGAATTTGATATAAAACACATGAACAATATATAAAACAAGGTAAATTTGCATCTCTAGCAAAATGTTCAGCAACAGTTGTAATTACAAACTAAAATATGAATTAGAATTCATAGTTAGTTCTATAATTCTGAACATTTATATCTAGAATAAATACTGGATTGTATTCCAACTCTATTTATAAAATCAATCAAATCACATCAGGCCAACTTTCTAATATATCACTTTCATAACAAACTGTCCATAAAATTTTTAAAATTTTTTCTTATTTCATTCCCAAGCTTCAGTTGATAATGTCAGCAACTTCTTTTGCCAGCTAGTTGGTAGACTGAATTAGTTGCTAAAACTGTAACCGAAAACCTTGTGAACAAAATAAGAAACAAACGTGGATTGAATGATCCTGCTTCTGTGTCTTAATTTACATACTCATAGATATTACCTAAAAATATAGCATTTTTTTAGGCTATACCAGCGAGTAAAATTGACAGTAACTTTTGATACCCCACTATTTTCACTTTCTGAATCTGCACTCCCTTTTAAAGATAACTAAACATGTATTAGTAGAGATTAGCAATGTACTACACTGCTGACAAACAAAGCTAATAATGTAAACAAGGAAGTTTCTGAAAATGCTGTAATTTTGTGAATAAAAGATCTTTTTTTGTATTATATCATAGTAAGGATATTTTCAAGTGAGAACAACTCAGTTACAACAGATTCCTACATCTGCAGATCACTAAAGTCATTAAAAGATCACATTTCATATAATTTACCTCGTCAAATGAAATATAACAATACCTGATTTCAGATTCTCTGTAAATATATATTTTTCATTAGATTATCTGTGATAAAACACAAAATTACTTATTGTATAATTACTATCAGTTCAACATATTAATTTCATCTTTAAATTACATTTTTATAGAATAGCTTTAAACCCACTGTGCAGCTTCTTGTTCTACCCACATCTTCTCTAATGGTGAACCAATAAAATAATCATATAACACACGGCTTTATAAAGCTGAAACTTGAAAGCATTATCCTCATACTTGTGATCACAGAAAAATTCTTAAAATCTGTCTGTATCTTCATTAAAGTTCAGTACAACTACCTGAAAGTATAAATATCTCTTCTGCTTTCACGAATATTCTATAAAACAATGAACTCGTTCAATCTTCAGAATCTAATGCACACTTTCAACACATATAATTGCAGATACAATAGGCAACCTGAATCCTCACATTTCACAACATACCAAACAAAGCCTGAGTAATATGTAGCAGAACAATCAACAAACACATGAGAACATAAATACTAGTATCCATTATACAAATTCCTTACATTGATTAACATTCAATTAGATGATATAAATCAAACCCCCGTGTAGTTACCTACACCATTAACTAAAGACTTTATTGTGTTGTTTCTTTAAAAACAAGTAAATCAAGAAGACAGATTAAAACATCATATAAATAAGCAAAATTTCAAGACATTCACTGTAATTACAATAACAGATTGGGCCATTTAGTCTTTACAGTTCATTAAATAATTCAATTGTAGGTGTGACAATTTTTACTAAAGCATTACTGACTTTGAGAGACATCTTCTGGCAAAAATTTATTATATTGCTTGATGCATTGCTTCTTTAAAGACAAGTAAATCAAGAAAACAGATTAAGACATCAATTACATATGCAAAAAAAAATCGAGTCATTTTACTGTAATTACAACAATGAGAGATTGGGCCATTTAGTTTCTACAGTTCATTAAATAATTCAATTGTAGGTTTTACAATTTTTCTACAGCATTACCAACTCTGAGAGACATCTTCTGGCAAAAATGTATTATATTGCTTGATGTCATAGCATGTGGAAAAATCACAGATGTTTACTACATTAGAACCTAAAGGATTAAATCCTTTTTTTTTGACATTCATAACTTGAAAACTAATAAGAAGTGATTACTCCAATGATATGACTATTTTAATGGCATTAAGAGCTAACTATAATTTCCTTAAATATGTCCTAACCCACGAATACCTGGTAATAAAGAACAAGCTTCAACGATCTTGGAGATTCGTGTCAATATAACTGTACATCTTGGAAACAATCATGTTTTAGTTGTTCAGAAACATTTTTGATGAATGCCACATAAGAAACGGATGTTTTGTTTTTGTCATGGACCACAGTTTCGATTGGTTGTGCATCAATATTGTCAGTTGCACAATTAAGACCACTAGATAAAAGACCAGTGACACCACAAACATACAGGTATATAAATGGGTTAAAAGAATATTAAGTTGCACTGCCAGTTACTTATTTTTTTGTAAGGACCTATTAATCTAAAAAAATCTTCAAAATTGAAAGTCTGGTCCTGCCATTTCAATAGCCCAAAGAAACTTTTCTCTCTGAGTTTTATTATAAATCTTCTCAATTGGCACATCCCACTTCTTGCACCTGTGAAACAAGAGATAAATATAAGAAAACTATGATAAATAATTAATCGTTGCAAAATAATTTATAACTAATGTGGTAATTTTATAAAATGTTATAATTTGTCTACACTGAAAATGTACTTCCGACAGGTACTTACTTCTGCTCACATACAGAGCTATTCTCGTTCAGTGCTACCCTCTATTTGCTAAAATGTTTTCACAAACCACAAGCCTTTTACTTTTACTCCCACCACCCCTCGATTCACATGGTTTAACTGATTCTGGCATACAAATTATCATGCGACAAACCACCACCAATAGTAGTGCCAGACATTCACGTGACTCCCTCTATGCTATTTTACCTAACTACCACTTCAAATTTAGGCAAAAATGTAAGCACCAGTTGACAGTGGGGAGGAAGGGTGGGAAGCGTAAGCAGAAGTGAGTACCTGTTGGAAATACATTTTCAGTGTAGAAAGATTATAATTTCCGACAAGGTACATTACATCCACTCACATACATAGCTAGAACCCCACACTGAATAGGTGGAGGGATCAGTGTAAGGGAGAAAGTAGAATCATTCTTCGAAACAAGGGAACCATCTAATAAAAAGATTATACATGGGAGACTGCACCACTTCTGTATCAGATATAGTCTTTGCCCAGATGTGGTAAAGGTGTGACAGATCCGGGCAGAAAATCCGATGGAGAAAAACGGTTGGACAGTGATCCTAACTACAATATAAGTTGAATCTCCCTCATGTACAGAATGTGCATAAAATAAGGGATGTGCCCCAAAATGTAGAGTGGCTAGGGCACAATAGTTCATAGTTGGCAAGTCAACTTCACCCAAAACTTGATCACTTGGAACTGACATCCACGCGAGGGTAGGAAAGAGGATCATACCATCTTCTCCTCAAGTTCAGTCAACCAGAGGGAAAAATCCCACCACTAATCTGTGAACAGGGCACATGTGAGCAGAATGAAATAACAATTTTGTATATCACACTCAAATCAAACAGACTGGTACCACCTCAAATGTAGTAACATCCTTGGTACAAAGACATCAAGGGGTATTGCAAGAGGAAGAAAAGGAGCAATCAATAAGTGCACCCACCATGACTCACAACACTGGGGTAGTGCACTTAGGCAAAATTGAGTAAGGGACCAGGGAGATCCTGAACACATGTGAAGACTTATGTTGATTGGTTCAGCTCTAAATCCAAAACTCATCTGCTCACAACCAACATCCATGCAGAGGTAGAATGAGGGATCCCAGTCGAGGGGGGTGAACTGCGTTTATGCCGGCACACTACATGTGTGAGTACATCATGTGGATTGGATCAACTCTAAATCCAAAACTCAACTACCAGGAACCGACATCCTGGACAGTGCAATGGATGACCAGGAAATACTATTTTGTAAAGCAGACTAAATCCGATTTATTCGATCTAAGGAAAGGCAGGGATGGGCAGCAATCCCCTTCTGACCCATGAAGTATATGGATTACTACAATCTGGAATGGTCATATTTATGAAGCAAAGATATAGTGAAGAATAACCTATGAGTGATCTTGTGGAACACCTCATCTCTAGTTTATGTGACTGTAATGAACAGTGTGCATTTTGTGACCAAGAAAATTATGAAAGTGAAATTAACATGGCCTTACAGTGCAGATTTCAGTACAACTCTAAGTGACTGAAGTATACTTGGACAGGCACCACTCGCCAGAGAGGGGGATCCTGGTGAAAACATGGGACAAGTCCCTGAAAAAAATAGAAAGAAAGAAAACTTACCCAGTTACAGTCTCACTGAAGAGTGAAGGATGACAACAAGTGGAAGACAATACATCAACGAGGAAGAAACAGCTACCCAAAGCAGATAATGGGAGATGAACATATGAGGTACAGTCCCAGTGTTCGACAGACAAAATACCTCCAACGGATGACAGGGTTGAGATGCAGGTAAAAGGTAAGATGCCTGAACGGAGTGAAGACACCAGGAATTAATTACGGAGACAAGGAATAAAATGCCAATCGAATCACAAGCCAAACCCAATGGGTAAGAGAGGAAAGGAAAGAAACTGTGGGAAATGGTGTCAATGGAAAGAAGCCATGAAAGCAATGAAGCAATCCGGAGCATGTACAAGACAGATAAGGGCACTTGAATCTGACCGGGAATAAAGGTGGAAGCTGGCAAGAAATGAAAATTATGAAAAGAATATTCTACATGAGCCCATAAAGTGTAGGTTAGTAAATCGATCCAGAACAAAAAGAACATATCGAGCTGAAACAGCCAAGAAAACCAGATCTATGCTAGCCAGGAAGGATCAATTAGAAAGACCTGACCCAGAGTGACATGGATGATCAAAATCACCTTGGGAAGAAGAGTGACAGAATGAGAAAAACTAAAGTTATAAACTGGATCTAATCCTGTCTGAATGTATCAACAGCCAGGGTGAGTGGATGATGAATTGGAGACCAAAACAAAAGATGTAACTTTGTATTGTGAAAGGAGTCAAATGCTTCCCATGAAGGAGTACCTCACAGGAGGCAAAGCCACTGAAAATTTCAGGATAAAGAGGCCACTCCTTGGGAGAAAGTGTGTTGGGATTGGAAAGGTAATCTGCAACAAGGATGAAACCACCTGGAACAAGGCACTCCAGGAGACATATGTCAAGTGTGTGGATTTGAAAAGGGAGATTCACTGTCTGTCATAAAGGAAATAAGAATAAGGGTCTCCCTTGGTGAGTGATATAAGCCACCACCATCAAATAGTTGGAAGGAAACATGATTAGTCAAATCCAGAGAAGAAGAGGAAAGTGAACTAAAGCACATTGGACTGCTAGGGTGTTAGCATGCAAGACCTTTCTTCTGTAGAACATTGTCCTGAAACTTCCTGCTGTTCAACCCATGCTTCCAACTTTGTAGATAAGCTTAAGGGAAGAGAAACGAATCCCGATAAAGGGGGGGGGGGCGGCGGCACTGGTAAACCTGATGATGTGGGGGTATATGTTCAATCACCAATGCATACAGTCAAAGAATAAAGAAGGAAATTCAAGAAAAGAATCCAAAGGAACCCTAGCAAGAGACCATGGGTCATGCAGCATCCCTTGAAAATATTGCAAGTGTGCCAGACCCAAAGGGAGGTGTGCTTCCATAGAAGCCACATCTAATGTGTTAGAACCTTGCTAGCTGTAAGTTAGTGAACCGTAACAGCGTGAATAATAAAAAGCTCCATTGAATGCATTCAAGGGTAAAAATTGATGGTCCTAATAAAGATGGGTGATTAAAATAACACTTCCCAAATAGCTGAGGTTGTTAGGTAGGTAACAGGAAAATCCAAACACTTGAGCTGCTTGTGTAAGAAGCAGATGTCCAACTAGTGGTGTTAGTAAAATTCCCCAAATAGTGGAAGTTGGTTAAAACACAGACCACCTAACAGAAAACATATGAAACAAAAAGCAAAGACACCACAAGTGAAGGGAAAGAACTGAAGATGACAATTGCTCCAACATCAAGTATCCCAAGATAAAGGTGGAATGCCTAAGAAAGGAGATGTAAGGTATACATTTCCTATAGGAGAGTTAATAGAGTAAAATGAAGCTGGAAAACTGGGTAGGGAGTAAAATGGATAGGATTAACAAAGACTGCTAACCATTCATGCGACAAAGATTCGAAGTACATAGGATCAAGAAGAAAATCTGCCTGATAGTAATAAAGGCAAATCAAACCAAAGCCTGTTGAGGGTAAGGCATACAAGTACCTCTCCCAAAAGAGAGAAAAAATGCTCATCATGAAACATAATTCCTGGAAAAGGAGGGGAAAAATTATACTGTGAAATGTATCTACAAAACGCTGTGGTAGGCCTGGTAGATTCTGCAGTAGAGGCTTTGGAAGGTAAGCCATAATCAACTGGAAGAAAACTGACAAAATTTAGGTCATCATAAACGTGTTTGGCAGTTGTAGGAAGAAGGCAAGCAATATTGGGAGAAAGTAGGGCAGACCCTGGAACCCAGGGGTCCTCACAAACTAAATTAATTGTATGAGTATAAATTATAAAGAATGATGAAAATGAAATAGTCGATATAATGTAAACTTAAGTACGTGTGTAGTAAAATAAACATACATATATGATGTTATGTGTTAAAGAAAACAATATATTTAACCTAATTATTGAATTACCTGTAAGATGAACTACAGGTAAATAAAAAATAACAGACACTTGTAAGCCTAATCGAACTGTGCAGGACAAAGTACATCAGTAAGCTCTAATTTAAAAACCCTAACTTAACAGTAATACGTACAATATTGGGAGAAGTTTCTGCAGACCCCAGCTCCAGAAGTTCACACAAATGAAGTAAATAGGATGAAGTATAAAAAATAAATAATAACAAATAGACGTTATATTATAAAATTAAGTAAGTGTGTATTGACAATAACATATGTATGAGATGTCATGTTTGAAAAAAATACAATATAGTTAACTTAATTTATGATATACCATAAAGATGAATCACAGGTAACCCTAAAATAACAGACTCATGTTAAGCTTTATCTAACGTTATAGAACAAAGGATACAACTAAGATCTAATTTCAATCCTCAAAGTGACTATGTGTATTGACCAATCTAACTAAACTTATGTTGTTGAACCCAAATAACTACAGATAATAATATTAACAGTAAAAATAGTCAAAAACCATAAAAGTATAATGTCTTATCTGTCCAAAGTTGGCGAACCATGTTTCAAATATGTGAGCCCCCAAACTCAAAAGATCAGCTCATTGGATGATCAATTTCCCGACAAAGTAAAGCCAATATTTCTTCAGTCAAGGACCGCCACCTGAAGCCTGTATAAACATGCTGATAGAAGACATAACCTCCAAAGTTGTAACTTAGAGTTTGGAATTCATAATTCAAAATAACAACCAAACACAATTGTGTTGGCAGAAAGAAATAAAATAGTAGAAAAATTTTTTAATGAAATAGAATGTAATGGGTAGAAATGTATAATTAAACAGCAGAACATGAGCACTGCCAAATGAGAAGTGATAGTTAGGTAGAATAGCATAGAGGGAGTCACATGAGTAGTTGGCAATATTATTGGTGGAGGTTTGTCGCATGATAAATTTCATGTGAGTGAAAGACTTGTGGCACGCAAACATTTTTTTGCAAATAGAGGGCAGCACTGAATGAGAAGAGCCATATATATGTGAGCAGAAGTAAGGTACCTTGTAGGAATTATGTTTTACATAAGATTAAACCTTAAAAATAGTTTGACAATATTTTATGATAAATCACATATTGTCAGTATAAATGTATTAATTATGTCTGATGACCTCAAATTTTAAAGTATCTCACAAAACAACATCCATGAAGACTAAAAAGGCACTTGCTTAGATTTGCCATAAAAAATAAATGAAGGTTTATTACGCTCGTCTAACAAATCACTAGTATATACACACCATGCAACACTTATTCTTGGATCCAAGTAGTTCAACTTAGAGGTGCCGAGTGCTATTTGTTTATTTTCTTCTTTGTCAGTAGCCTGTACCTCTAACTTTCTTAGTTGATCTTCTAACTGTGCCATTCGTTTCTTCTTACGATCCAACAGTCTAAAAATTAAAAAAAGACATTCTAAACCCCAAACTGTAATTTTCTTCAAAAGAATTATCTTAAATCAAAATTGTGTAAAAACAATATTACTTCTTTCTTTGCAAAAAGAAAGGAGTGACAAATGACCACTATCACTACTTCAACGTCTGCAGTGCCTTTACTGTTCCTGTTAATGTTAAATCAAAATTGTGTAAAAACAATACTACTTCTTTCTTTGCTAATACAGTGATAAATGACCACTATCACTACTTGAATGTCTGCAGTGCCTTTACTGTTCTGTTAATTTAATCCTTTACCAGCAAGATAAGAGTACAAATTAACGGCGGACTGAGGTATACAATTATACACTTATCTGTACAATGAAAACAATACAGCAAATTTGACTCTGTAATTCAGATTCACTTTCTATTATGTATCATAATCCATTATCCTTTATATTGCACAAGTATAAAACACCTTCATACGTATAAAAAGAAGTTAATCACTTTCCTACAAACTTTTATATCAATAAACTTAGAAGTAAACTTTTGACAGACACACGTGAAGAAAAAGTTATTTATTAGTTAAAAATGTTATGTTACCAATTTAAAAATAAATTCAACAATAAGAATCTTTAAATAAAAATTAAAGGTTCAACTCATTTGAATTACAAAACTCTTACACTTTATCTTTACTAGCATTGCTGTCTTTGTATGCTTGCTTAATTTTCTTGAACTCTTTTTTGAAATCCTTGATCTGCTTCTCTTTTTCTTCAATCTAGAAACAAAGGAAATTCATAAGAATTATTTTTAGGTACTGTTAAGTTTTCTCAATGAGTTAATTATATATGTTCTGTTGAAGCAGATTTTGTGTTTCTCTCCAAAATAAGAATGAAAGCTGAAAGTTAAAAACAAATAATATTAATAATAATAATAATAAATATCTAGTGTGAAAAGTTAAAACTATATTATGATTTACGTTTAAAGATTTCATACAAACATTTATTATCATTATATTAGAATTTATTTTTACAACCTGTAATTTAATGCATAGGTGAGCCTCAAAGCTTGACAAATTTTTCCAAAGTTTTTAGAAACTTCAAAGTATAAAATTACTAACATTTTCAAATACTTGTACACTTTCTATGATGTTTCTTATAATCAATAATAATAATAATTTTGAAAATATAAAAAATATTAGTTCAGAGAAAGAACTATATTTAAGCTAGAGGCAAAATCAGATGACTTTTACATTAGGTCAGAGTGGGGTGCTATTAGAATGACTCTGATTTTACAAAATGTTTTATGTTTGTCAAAAAAGCTACATTATCAAAGATATGTTACAGTGCCTGAGACAATTAAATGAAAGATATATTCTGGTAAAGCTAGAGAAAACATTTTTTCTCACTGAAGTATGTGATGAACAATTACCTAATAGGTAACTCTGAAATAACTCAGGTGAGCTACTAACCTTGCTCTTCAGATTCTGCATGGACTTATCAAAAGTTTTTGGAACTGCCCGTTGGTGATTACACAAGATAGCTACGGCACGGTTAGCTCTGTTGTAAGCAAGAATCTTTTCAGGGATTGACATGTTTTCTAGAATAGAATTTAATCTGTACATAAGAATCCAGTTTTCTTTTATGCTTCAGGTTTAAAATATTGTTCAGAATCATATCATAAGTTCACACAGAAACTAGAACTGCCACAGCATTCTATATATAAAAATATCCATATAAATCATTATATGACTAATAATTTTGTCTCACATTACTTTCAGTTTCCACACATTTCATAATACTAAGGTTTTTGTGCTCTTCAGACTAAAACACATTCCACAAAGTTTATCACGATACAGTAAATTATTCCAATTTTCATGTATATTTGATGTGGATGTACTTATAGTTATGAAATTCCAAGTTTGTTTTTTTCAAGAGGAAATACATTTAAGAATTTTACACTATGCAGCAACAGAGCTATTTGTCTATACTTGTTTGTAGGACACTGGTTTGTTTTAATCTTTTTATTTACTTGTTTAAGTGAAACTTTTAAAATACATAAAGTACAACTCCTAAATACTAGCCAAATAGGAATAAGTGCAACTGTACATAGCAGACAGAGGTAACTCCAGCACAGTAGGAATGAATGAGTCATGACACAACAAAAGATGTGAGTCTGATGAATGCTTAACAATAAAACTGGCAACAGCAATAAAAATCACACATTCACAAGCAAACTCATCTCAAAGTTTTTACCGCTAAAATTAGGACTTAATTCACCAAATGTTATTTGGAAAGTTAGTGTGAAAACCTTAAAACTCTCAAAGAAATACTTTAATAACTTTTGTGAATATAAAATATGCTCAAACATTTCCTCAAATATTCATGTAGTTATACTATTAAAAGCAGAATAATTAAGTGAATACTTTTAACAACATTATTTTGAAGCTAGAGCTTAGCTTTAAAATACATACTATATTTAATTGTGTAGAACTATATCAGTTGCATTAAAATGCAAAAAGTTTAATTCTCTCACAGACTCACTCAGCTGTTTAAGGCATATGATATTTCAAAGTAAAATGTGCTTGGAACAAATATTTTTTATTGAACTCACCTTCTGTTAGGAGGTGAAGTTGTTCTTGCAGTGTTCTTGAGGCATTAAAAGTCCTGAAGACTTTGGCTGTTAGGCCTTCCATTAGCTCATTTAAATATTTATTCAATATGCTTGTCTGAAAAACAAAAAACATGATTCTCTAACATTTACACAAAAGAGCAGCAGAAATATAACAATAATTTCCTTGAAAATCAGCCACTTATAAACTACGTCTGTCTACTTTTGGGCAATTAAGTAAAGGATACATTAATTCAGAAGGGTTTTAATTTGCCAAGTTCACAAGACAACATTAGAAATCATTTATTTTACAGCAGGATAATATTGTCTCTAAAAGATCAGTGGAAGATGACTTGGTGATACTTTAATGTCACTAATACACTTGATAACAATGAATTCATCCAATTATAAGTTATCACCTTAAAAAACACTGGATTTAATTAATTACACGTTACCACTTTTACAAACACTGAATTGAGCCCATTATAATTATTTCCCACACAAACACTGAATTCAGCCAATTAAACAAGTTAACACTTTAATAAACACTGGGTTCAACCAATTATATAAGTTTTCTCCTAAATAAACACTAAATTCAGTTAAACAAGTTATCTTCTCAGTGAACAAAACCGAGTTAAAAGAATTGCATAAGTTATCACTTTATCATCTGAACAAATACTAGATTTAATCAAATAAAATTAATTCATGAAACAAAACTACATGAAAAATAAAGATCGCAGTCATATCATAAAACATACAGTAAACACAAAATATTGACAAAAAAAAAAGAAAAATGATCAACCAACATCGAGGTTAACACAATAAGAATAATAAACTCTGTAAAGTTCTAAATCACAAGTTTCTAGAAAGGTACTTACATTCAAACGGTCAAACAGGTCATCACCAGGCTGTTTGTTTTCCATGAACAGTTTCAGGTTTTTAAATACACGTTTCTCTACAGGAATGCTGTTAACATAACGAATCGAGTCTTTACCTAGAAAGTCAAACTCTACCACAAACTCTTTACCATCTTGCTCATCATGTAAAGTAATGTGTTCCACACGGAGTGAGCAACAACCAACGGTGTCAGCACTCTCCCCCTCTTCCTTCTCATTACCAGCTCGAAGGGCAAGCTGCACAAGAAAAAATTACTCTTGTGAACTATCCTTTGAACCACAAAATTTGCCAGAAATTCACTACACCTACAAAGCTAAAATTGAGTAACTCTAGTTCATTTTCAAATGACTATCAATATTATAAATTTTTTAATCATGATCAAAAACTTACTTCACACAGACTTAAGTCTAATTAAATCATAAAAATGAAATTAAAATCTACTCTTATGGAACATGCGTTTTGGCATTTTTATGTGACCTGTTCAGTCCAAAGATGGAATGAAGATAACATATGAAAGTGCCAAACTTGTGTTCCATTATAGTGCATCTTAACTTCATTTTAGGTTACTTTACACATATTGTGTATTTACCTATTATTAATTCACCATGTTAATAGATATAACACTAAGTATTTGCATCAACCCAGCTTATGCATAATAATAAAGCTTCTCTTTCTATCTGCTGAATGAGACAAAACTTGGGTCAAAAAGCAACAGTTTAAAGAAAATGCCTTGATCAATATTATTTTAAAACCAATGTTTCACACGTAAAAAATGTTCACCTTGTCAATAAAGTACAGTGCCACAGCTCGTTGCCTCACTCTCATTTCTTTTGATTTCCAGTCTTCTCTGTACTCATTCCTTATTCTGTCAACATGTTTATATAGTTTTCGTGCTGTCTCATACTTCTGCCAGTCTTTCTCCCCCTAAGGAATGTATAGACTTAATTTATTTATTCATAATAACCTATATGAAACAATGTTATCAGAAACCAATTCTCTTCCAAATTTGGGAAACATACAACACGTAGATGTTTTACATTATTGGACTACATACACTTTCTTTCATACATATTAAAAAATTTAATGAATTTCATGTGGAAGAATTACTATGAACTTCAACAAAACAATCTTGTTTAAAAACTAGCCAGACTTATATCATATTACTCTCTTAAAATATATTTTATGCTATTAAATAGTAATTTTCTATTTTTTTTTTTTATAAATTACTGTAGAATATATAGTAGAAGAACTTACAACCATCTTTCCAGATATATATCTACTTCAGTTTAAGATGAAATAGGATTCTAATACATTGTTAAATATAAATGGCAATTTGAAGCAAGTAAACCACTTTTGTGATCTTACTTCAACAATTTTTTTTTTAAATCTGTATTATCTAATATTTATTTACTTATACTGAAATAATAAGTTACGTGTTGGCACTACTGATATCAATTTAACACAAATGGGTTTTACCTTCAGCTTTGAACTGGGGTTCAACATGATGTACTTGGTGGCTCCCAGGATGTTTTCATTCCAACAAGCAAGCCAAGTAACAGTGTTGTCATGTCGAACCTCTTTCCATTTGCGTCCTTCAGGTGGCTTGGGGACATTAGCTTCCCTGAAAAAAAGTTCATCAAAAATATAATATAAATTCTTAATTTTCATTTGAAAAGATAGCCATAAAGTTTTAACATAAAAACAGGAGTAAAACATAACACAATGAATTAACTTATGTGGAGTTTAACAAATCCATAGGTATATGGGAAACCCTATGATATTGAAAAAATTATTATCCAAGAAGTACATTATTAGAAAAACTTATAATTCTCAAAAAAAAAAAGAAAAAAAGGCATTTACTAAATATGTTGAATGTGTTTAAGTCAATAACTAAAAAATAGGTTCACCAACAGTCAAGATGGGTTGAGCCTTACAATAAAAGAAAGCTGTATTTGATTACGATTTGTATACTGATATCATAATTAATGTCATTATTTAAATAGGCTCTAAATAGGCTCAAGAATAAATATTAAAAATTACCATAAAAACAAAACAAGCCAAAAAACCAAAATTCAGGATGACTGCCATAGCCTGGAAAAGCTTGATATTACACACTTGATCAATTTGCTTCCAGTTGCAATATTTTAAAAAGACTCTTATGAGATTTCTTAAAGTGTCTCAGTACATTTCTGAGCAACATAAAAGCTTTCATTGTGTAAACCCTTAACCCTTTTGCAACGGGCTCATGTAATTTACGGAACACTGTATTCGGAATTTCACTCGTGCAACAATACATATTGTAACTCTGAGATTACTTAACGTATCCTCTCAAAAACTGGTAAGATTTTGTTAAAGAACATAAGTATCTTGTACACAAAAAATTACATTATTTTAATTGAGTGTTTTTACTAAAAATATGTTATTTATCTATTGTACTTACTTGCACTCAAACTTAATAAATTGAGTGCAAGGTGATTTTTCATTTTAAGTATAGAAATACTTTTCTTCATCTTAAATAGTTTTCAAACCTCATTTGCATAACCTCTAAAACCTCCTAAATGAATATCAAGTTTTTTTAGGCAAATGTATATACTATATTTTTCATTTTCTCTGTCATATGACTAACTCTAGCTATTATCATCAATGTACAATTCAATGAAATAATTAATATTAGGAAATAGAAAAATATATACACCTTTTAATTTTTTAAGATCTGTAAAGATCTTCTTTTGGTTATATTTGTAATTTCAGGTCTTTTCCTTTTCACATATATTTAATTTTTAATGTTTTTATTTTCCTTTCTTGTCATTTACCATTTATTATTCATCTTGACACAAGTCAATGGTGCCCTTGGGGCATATTACAGCATCTCTGGCAGATACGTGCATCCGATTGGCAAAAATTTCATGCACCATATATCATAAGCCTTGAGAACTGATGTAAAGTATGATGTATATTTAAAAAAATGTTTAAACCTTTCAATTATGCATTTGAAAACATAAATAATATATAATTAACTAAAATATAAAAGAAAGACCTAAATACAATTTAACTATATTTCTAAATATAATATACTTAGGTAAGAAACAAGTGTAAGTGCTATAGTTGATCAAGCAGTCAACAACACTACAGACAGTCACTTGTACCCCATGATGAAAACTGCACACCAATTTCAAAATAACAGTTGTTAGATTATAGTGAAAAATCAGTTTTATAATGACTATATATATATATATACATATTTAACCTCTATAAAGCTCAAACAAATTTATCAAAGGTGGGTGTGGCACCAGTCAGGGGTTGACAAAATTTATTACTTGTTTCAACTGCATTCATCCAGAGAACTTTGAAATATACATGTCAATAGGTTAATTAAATGTATCATTGTCTAGACATCCATCTACACAACTGGCATTATATTTTTGAAGATACAGAGTCACAATACATCTGAGGTTTTGTTTAAAAGTTTCTTTTGAAATAAAGGACTTAAAACTTAGATAACACAGTGACTTGTGCAAAAAATGGTTTAAGGTGGTATCCATTGCAAAAGGGTTAAACAAAAGGTTTTACTACTTCACATCACTTTAATTTACAGAAACTATAAGTTTTTTTCAAAAACCAAGAAATATATAAGTTTGCCATTTTCTTCTGTTCAACTAAGTACACTATATGACAGCCTAAAAAACGTATTGAGATTACAACAGTTAGTCTGAGAAAAACTTCACAGCTGGTTTGATGTAAGTCTCAAATTTCCCATGTTTATATACACTGTTTATTACCATTCTGTATCATACTTGGTAATTTTGTGTTTTGCCTGTGGCAAACACTCATTGAAAAAACTGACAAAAAGAAGGTGAAATCAATTATTTTCTGTGTCACATAAATAGTTCAGAAAAATGTTAAAAATTGAATAGGGTATATTATGGATCCCATCAGTTATTTTGGGGTTAGAGGACTTTTACTAAAACTTTTATGCTTTCACTAAACTAAATACTCTAGTGTTGTTCATAAGAGGCCCCTGTTTCTATGATAAACAGATCAAAACAGATGAGTGCAGGATTAATTAAAAAAAGGAAAAGCTTTGGACCCTTGATACACAACTGTTTGCTTTGTCTTATGGAACTTCCTTATCAAACACTCTGAGGTTTAAACTAAACCTATGTGGGTAGATTCAATTCAAAGTAACTGATAAAGAGGATGATATGTTATTTCCTCTCTTCCAGTGGCTACAGTTTTTGATTGAAACTGAGGACAAACAAGTGAAATAAGTATGTAAAATACTTTAAGCACACTTTTCATCATTCCTGTAATTTTACTACAAAATTATGAAATCTAAAACTAAAGGTGTAAACATTAAATTCCTAAATAGTTTAGAAATCTGATGGTATTTCACAAAATATTACCTCAATATACCTGTCTAGCCATTTAACTTACTTTCCAATGTTTATGATTATGTCTTCAGGACGAACACGTTTCTTCAACATGCCCATTTTTGGGTGTTCCCCACGCCCACGAAATAGACCAGGAGGTTCAATTTTGAAGTTGCCAATCTTCTGTTTGTGTCCATCAATGATACAAAATCCATACTCCTTCTGGATTTCTTCATTCTTTTTCTTTATTTCCTGTAGAAATATAAATAACAAAAACAAAATATATTAGATACTTATTGATATTCTCTTATTAGTATCTACCAAGTTTTTAATGTAAAATAATAACTGAAATTTTATTTTAGTTTCGTCATTTATATTCATGGAATCCTAGTATACTACAAATACAAAATTTGGACATTATTTATGATAATATGTTCATCCACCAATGAAAATTTTAGTTTTAAGAGCGTAAAAACATGATTAGTCATATCAACCTTTATATTTGTATATATCAGATAAACTGCAAACATATTATAGTGAAAACTAATAGCTGTGTAGATTAAATGCTGTCAAAACTACCAAAACAAAAATGAGTTTCAACAATTTCTTATGAATATATATATATATATGAACCCAACAGAAATTTAGAATAATTATTTCAAAACCATTAATTTTACTTTGCAAACTCTTCATACATTGACACTTACATTAAATGATTTTTAAGTTCATTAGTGCACTTTAATACAGCTTGATGAAGCATAAAATCTAACACATGCAGACTTGGGTCATTAGGAGAGGTGGGTTTCAAAACTGATCAATATATCATGATGTATGAGTATGCTTACTTGAGTTTTACAAATACATTTATAGAGTTTGAGTTCAAAATATTTATGATAGCATAAGTCACAACATTCTTTTAATTTAATACTGGATGAAATATGTTTATATATGGTACCTAATAAGTGGTGAAAAATACAACAACTTTCACACTGAGAAAGAGAAGTATGTTATTAGATAATTATCTGAACAGTACTCAGACTAAGTAGAATATCGCAAGTTGTACAGTAATTGTGGAATAACCAAGTGTTTTTTCGACACTACCTGACAGCTCACAGAGTGCAAAAATAAGAGAAATTTGTATACAACCACAAAAGTATAAAATGTCCATATATGTAACATAAAAGTTTTGGAGCAATAAAATAAAAATTTATGGTTTTACAACTGCATATCTAAATAATGAATCAGAAATAAGCAATTAAATATTTAGATCAGATGAGACCAGAAGAAACAAATATATATATAAACAAGTAATGCATAATATTTTCTGCAGTAGACTTTTAGAGCATATACATTTGAGTCTGTATAAGCATGGTATCTAGAGTATTTAATGAGGATTAAATGTCATTAACTCTCTTGCTATGGCCTCAGCTGAGTTCGTGACCCAAAATTGACCTTTATGGTTTTCACACTATTATTTCTAATACGTTTTGTGTAACTTCACAAAATTTTGCAAGATTTCAGTAATTATTAAGAGCCATTTAAAGACAAAAAAAAAATCAGAAGTTTTAATGAAGTATTTTCATTCAAATTTCTCCATGAATATATGGAGTCAAAGTGTTGACTGCTGCGAGTACAAAGTGACTTTCATGTTAAGATTAAAAATACTTTTCTTCATTCGAAAAATCACGTTTCATTTGCTTCATCTCTAAAACGTCCTAAATAAATTTCAAATGTTTTCTCTACCCTACCTTTATACGAGGTTGGTCAATTTGACCATCCTGTAACCACGATAAAAAAACAAAGAAAACTTTAAAATAAATCTAAATCTTTTTTTATTTCTAGAATGACTTTAAATTGTAACATGAAACTACATTTATTTATCCTAAATAGCTTTATACTCCTAACAGTAGACATCTGTTTATACTTACATTTTACTGTTTTATTGCACTTTGAACTGTGTCTAACTAATATTCTTGCCATACAAGTTGTAAATCACATGGTGAACATATAGATTACATTACTCTATCAAATTACATAATGCACAGGCAATTCGTGAGTTGCTTGCTTGCGAGTGTAAATTATTATTATTCTTTATTTTACCTAATCTAACATAAATAGAGTCTAATTTTTACATTTTAGTTATCTTTATAGTAATAAATAAAGAATACACATGAAAAAAGAAGAAATAAAGTACATACTTGGGTATTCTGTTTTTTGCTGTCGGCTGTTGATGAAACTTAATCCTATATTTTTATACTAATAGTACTACTGTAATAAATAAATTTTAATCTATTTAAATAAAGCACCAAAAAACACAGAATAACAACATATAAAAAGCAGACAATGTCCCATAACTATCACAATTTTTTTGGCTTTCTAACTGTGCAACAAAAGCTGTTAAAAATTTAGCTAAGCTTGTCAATATGTTTCCCATGGAAAATAAAGTTTGAACTAGAAGTGAAATAAACAATTCTCTGTACAGCAAACAACATAATATAATATGACAGTTGACAGATTAAAACTATAGCTTTCTATTGGTTATAACTAATATAGTGTTAACCATCAGAGAAAACTTTTGGCAATTTCTGAAAGAGAGAATGTGACAGGTGGGCATGGTAAGAGGGGTCTGATTTTAAGTTTTATGGCTTTGTAACCAAATAAGTTTTAAGGCTATACAGATTACACTTTGCTTGAGTGATATCAACATTATAATGAAGAATTTATGTTAAATTTTATACTTCTTGGAGGGGTGGTAAATAAATGAGAGAAGAGGGGATGCCTAGAGAGCAAATGTCACAATTCTCATACTAGGGAAAATTCAGGATTTTTTTAAATACTGCCTTATAAAATTAAAACTTAACACTTAATATTAAAATTTGGATTATTAGTTACAATTTTAGGCCAAGTATATTCTTATAGCTTGATAAGAAAGCAGTTTAACTAAATTTTTAATGTAACTCACTAAAGCCTTGTGATATTGCAGAAAAAGATGTCTGTAGGGAAATTGCATGTCACAAAGTGTTACTGAGTTATATTCAAAATTTAATTAAACCACTTTACTATCAATGTATTTTAATGAAATTAGCATTATCAAGTACATTATGATTCAAATTCTTATTTTATTTAAGTTAGTATTCTTTAATTTCAAAAGAAACTACAAAAAGAATAATTAGAAACTTCACATTTGCTCTCACTTGAAGTGGCTATAGCATCTGAGCTTTAGACCTTGTTATATAAGAAATGAATATGGTAGAAAACTGTTTTCTTGCTGTCAAAAAACTACATGTACATACAGTTTGTTTATCATTAATTTGATATATGTTGCTAAAACTGGCCTCGAAAGAAAATTGTTACAGATATTCCTGAGTTCAAGCTATGCCGTGCATACTTGCAAAGTAGAAGCTGGGTTGCTTAGTGACAGTTTTAACTTGAAAAGCATGCTCATAATCAATAGAAAGAGCAGATTTTGCCCTTCAAGGTCGTTTATTCTTACATAACAAATAATGTATATATTTACTTTCAGCCCCGTTATAATGAGGCTAAGTTCATTGTTGAAAGGGTGTCTGTAGTGCTTGGCAATTTTCTTTGCCTTATATATATTATTTTGATAGACAGATTGCATTTAGGTTTTATTTTTATATTTTAGTTAATTAAGTGTTATTTGTGATTTAAGATTTATGTCTGAGTGCAAAAAATATTATGCCAGAGGGGTTAAACCTAAAAGCCGAAATTAAAGCAACATCATCCATGGAAATTTGTTGATGTGTGTCAACATAAATAAAACAGGCCTGTGATGGTTTTATTGTCTTGAAGTTTTCCCATGTTCTTCGTTAATTCCTGTATGCTGAATCCGAAAATGATATCCATTTTTCTCCATCACGTATAGATTTTTCACAAAACTTCATAATGCAGTACATAAAAGAATGACAACAACACGTAGTTTGAGAGTAAAAGATGTAATTTCAAAAAAAAATCACAATGAATAAGGTTGCATATTTGTTGGACATCAATGTTCTTCCCTTTTCTTCAGTTTGTTTGTATTTTTGTTTACAAACATAATAAAAAATTTTCATTAATAATAATTTGATCTAAATAAGAGTTTTTTTTCTTCCCAATATATAAAAAATCCTTATGTGATAGAAAAAATTAATATTATTTTCAAAATTTGCATAGCTGAATTATGGAAAATCTGTTATTAAAACCAAAACAACTTTTATGAAGTTTAAAATCGCAGGCCTATGTAATCAAAGACAAAAAAGGAGAGGAAAATAAAATATTAAAAATAAGTTGAGTGAAAAGGTAAAGAAGTGAAATTATGCATTTCAATCACTGAAGATGTCATTAAAATAATCAACAAAGATTTGAAAGGTATGTACATATTTCTATTTCTTAATTTTAAACATTTCATTGCACTGTATACTGATGTTATAGAGAAAATGGCAAACAAAATATAAATATTTACCTTAAAAAAACTTTTGATATTCATTTAGGAGGTTCCAAAGATTTTGCAAGCAAAAAATGAAAACCATAAGGTAAACAATAGTATTGTTATTCAGGAAAATCACTTTCCAGGTGCACTATTCAGAGTCTGAGTGCAAATAACAAATTTTTATTAAAAAAAGTATATAAATCAGAATTAAAGATTTTATTTTTCTGAAATTACTTACTTTTAGGAAGGTTCTTGTCAAATTTCAAACAATTTCATCCATTAGTTTTATTTTTGGAACAAAATATTATGAGTAACATTAGGTGCTACGAATTGCAGCACCCTGTAGTCATAGGGTTAAACTGCATTGTTATTATTTATGTGTATGCATATTTACATAAGTAACAGAATTCCATTACAATAATATGGGTACTGTAGTCACTCATGATATGCACATTTAATGCAGAGTATTGTGTTTAATAAGTGCACTAGAAAAAACAATGGAAGTAACAAGTTCCACACTTTTCAGTAAATTAAGTGATTTTTTTAAAGCTCTATACTGAACCCTGCTATATGTAATGCAATACTCCTGGTTACTCTTTTTATGTCCAGTTACTGGTATACTGGTATTGGTATATCTACTGCAAGTGAGCTCTTAACAAAGTGCTCCAATGCTACCATATATATTTTTCTTACAGCTTTCTCTTCCTTAGACATGTTTTTTCTCTCTTCTGACTTGACTTTAAAATATTCTGCTAATTCCTTGAAGTTACACTTCTTCAAATCTGTGATCTTTTCTTTTTCTTCTTGGGTCATTACCTATAAGAAAAAAAAAGCAAAAAGAAACTGCTATGCAAAAAATATAGCATTCAAACTCAGATTGGATCAACATATGAAATCAGTATAACAGAAAGTTAAAATTTTGGAATACATAAGCTGAACAATAGAAATTAATAACCCTTTTCAGGTGGATCTGAGATTGTTAATCGACTTTATGATCGAACAGAAAGCCACTGGGGGGCATATCAAAGATAAATAAATACCAATAAATCAGATCAAAAATCTACATAATCCTAATTTAACACTCCAAGGTTTATTAATTCATATCTTAATGCAAAAAAACACACACCAACAAAAACAAATTTACAAGTCGTCTCTGCTAGAATAGTAAAAATACTTGTCAAACATTTGAAAAAGAAACTCATTTTGCTAAAACTTTTTCCTACAAATGTTTCTGATCATAAACATATAAAATTATTCAATTTTTATTTCTATTTACATTCTGAACTATTAGATGAAGGAATAATTAAGATCTGTACTAACTAGTTTCTTGGTACTTGAGATAAAATAAGTAGGAAAGAAATAACTTTTTATTTTCCTCTCTTTATGCACACAAGTGTCTGAGAAAATCTAACTAGTTTAAAAGAAAAAAAGAAGAAGAAAAAAGACTAAATTATCAATAGTCTAGTTACATCATCACTATGAAAGTGGTGAAAATAACACTAGGTTTTATTAGTTTGCTGTGTTGTTGTTGAGACCTGTGTCCGAGACCAAGACCTTGTGATAAATTACACAATGAAAAATAAAGCAAGAAGAATAAAAGTCACATGCATCAAACAAACTTTATTAACATCTTAACTGCAAATCTTTTACATGTTAATCCCATGTCTTAATTTTAACGTCTCCTCCTATGAAAAAAAAACAAAACAAAAATATGAATAAATAAAAACAAATCAAGAAGGTCAGCAAATCAAACAAAAGAAAATTTTTTACTGTATTTCAAGAGTTTATGGTGTCAGTGAATTCTTTATGATCTTTGAAGCCAAACAGGATCACAGCAGGTCTACTAGACATGTTGAATATCAGGGAATATAGCTCACATTTAACATAAATATGTGCACCAGATGAAGTTCATACAAACTTGTAATAAGCCTATGTGTAATGCAATGTACAGTAGCCACTAATTTTGATTAGCACATGTTATAACTGGGTAGGTCTAAATCTAAATACTGGTAAAACTTTTAAATTTAACCAGTCTTGTATTCAGAACCTGTAAAACATTGACACTCAAGTGGCCCGAAATCAAGATCTTATGAAGGTTGGTCTAAAAACCTACAACACTGGTAGTCTGGTAATATCATGATAGTTGTGGTAATAGTAATAGGTATTTTTGTAGTCACTTATCACCATGAAAGTGGCCATAACAATAATATGTTCTTAGTATTATGGTTATATATTTAATTAACTATACTAATGGACAGGTTGATTTTTAGTTTTTCTCTAAGTACAAAGCTTGCTCTGATTGGAAGTTAATATTAATCAACATCACGAAAGTAATAAGAAAAAAAACTAGGTTCTTGGTAGTATGGTAACATCATCTTATAAGTGACAACAAGAACCTTATCAATATGGTAACACCATCATTACAAATGCAATAACAAGATTAGATTCTTAGTAGTACAATAACATCATCTTGATGAAAGTTACGATAACAAAATTAGGTTCTCAACCATCAGTTAACATCATCTTGATGAAAGTGATGATGATTAGGTTCTCAACAGTATGGTAAAAACATTATTATGAACATAAAGATTTGGAAAATTATGCTTAACTTACACAGTTTTTCCCTGTTTGTGAAGGATGAATTTTTGTTGTTTTCACCCTATATATAATTTGTAACAGATAATTTCAAGTCTATTGCTAGTAAATAAAAAAAAAAACAAATATTAAAAATGTCTTGAAGAGAACTTAAGAGCATTTAATATTTGAAAATTATAAAATGTCAAGTTTAAAAAAGAGCTGGATATATTTGGTTAATATATCCTAGAAATAAATCTACATTGGTCTCTAATAAGTGGAAAATAGAAATTAGATGCATTTTTTGTTTTGATAATATGAAGAGAACAAAAGTATACGGTTTCTTTAATTGATTTGATCTTGTGGAATTTGTTGAAGACATAACTGATACTTAATAATGAAGAAATGTTTTACTAGTTGGTTATAGAAAATAAATGTTTAACATACCTTCCTCCAGTCCTTAAAAAAGTTTTTGTTGAAAACATCTTTGGTAACATATTCATGCTCCAGCATTCTGGCATAAAACCCTGCTACTTCTTCACATTCTGGACTCAAGACCATATGTTTACCTGATAAAAATATTTTACCTTAGTGTTTTTACATAAAAAATTGAAATTATTATTAAAGAAAATTTTATGTAAAACAATTTTACACCCAGTTTATAACTTTTCTTTCAACCTTTTATGAGTAGAGTTGATGCAATGGGTCGAGCTTCTGCCTATGAAGCTATACATACTGTAACTCTAAATTTACTAACTGTATCTTCACAGAATTAGTAAAGCTTTTAGTAAACATTAAAAATCACATATATCAGCCACTAGAATAAAATGTCCCAAAACTACTATACCTGGCTTTCTAAATAAGTTAAAAAAATTCTGTTAGCACAACAATGATCTTGGAATGAAAATCTTCTAACCACTGAATAATCTAGTTGAGAAAACTGACACAATGAGATGCAGATTCATGCAGAAGAAATCCACTCTATTTATTGGTTATAGGCATGTCCATCAGCCATATAAGTTTGAAATTGGATTAACAAAATAATATCCAATGTCAGAGAGAGAGAGAGGAGAAGTTTCTATGATGTATTTAACAAAAGTAGCATCTTTTTGAAATTAGAAAATTATTAAGTGAAGAAATCAGAGCTGAGATGCATCACTTGACATAGAATATTGAGAAATTTTTTTAATGTTTCTTTTTGAAATTAAGTTCAAATTTTCATGAACAATTATTGATAGTGAATACATTGATATTACAGTTGTTTAATTAACTTTTGTTGAATGTAACAATGTAAAAAGGTCATGAAATGTCCATTTGGCAACTGTACTCTTAAAGGGTTAAAGTAGCAACACATTAAACCTATGGACACAGGCTCATGTATTTTACATATCCTTGTAACCACCATGAAAGTATACATACTACAACTATGAAGGTACTCAACGTATCTTTATGAAATGTGACAAGCTTTTACTAAGCATTACAACTCTTTTGCACAAAAAAATCTGATTTTTCAATTGAGTATTTTTGCTAAAAATTTGTCCATGAATATATGGAGTAGGAGAGTTGAGTGCTCTGAGACAAAGTGATTTTTCATGTTTCATATGTATAACCTCTGAAATATCCTAAATAAATATCCATATTTATTTTTCAGTAAATCTTTAGATTTTGTTATTTTCTTTACTATAACTCTATATGGACTGCCCCCCAGTGGCACAGCGGTATGTCTGCAGACTTACAGTGCAAGAAATCTAGTTTTGATACCCGTGGTGGGCACAGCACAGATAGCCCATTGTGTAGCTTTGTGCTTAATTACAAACAAACAAACTATACAGACTTCATCAATTTGATCAACCTTGTAACCACCAAAACAAATACAAAATATTTATAAATCATCCTTAATGCACATAAGAACAATGAATAATAATATATACAAAGCAAGCAATGTTCTATACTTTTTCTAATTTAACTGACTTTCTAACTAAGGCAGGACAGACTTAAAATAATTCTTTTAGCTGCTCTGAACATCGCAAGATAAAACTTTCAAACTGAACAAAAAATTGACTATACTTTGTACCGAAAACAACACAGAATTATATGTCACTCTATAGACAAAAGGTTGGCCTTTCTATTGGTTATAAATGATATAAAACGTTAGAAAGAATTACTGACAATTTGTGAAAGAGTTTGTCGGTTGGCAAGTAGACTGAATTTTTTAGATTATGACTCCATAAACAAAGACTGAAAGCTATACAAATTAGACTTTGCCTTAGTAGTATCAATATTGCAATGAGTAATTTATGTCATATCTCATATTTCAGAGGAGTGGGAAATAAATCAGAAAAAGGGAAAGACCTAGAGAACAAATGTTACGATTTTCACACTTGGAGAGCTTGAGGATTTATTTAAATATTTCCCTATAAAATTAAATCAAAACTTGACTTAATTATGTTTTGATGCCACATTTATTCATATAATACATTGATAATAAAGTAGTTTAATTATATTTTGAATGTAACTCAGTTGGAGGTCGTGACATATGCAATATGATTTACCTGTAGTGAGAGGGTTAACTTTTTTTCAGGACAAAGGCTATTTTAGCAAGACTAGTATGGCTACACATTATAAGTTTTCTTCAGGTTACAGCAATAAAAGGTTATTTTCTATTAATTTAAAAAATCATGCATTATGAATTTGTCAAACATGTGACAGCTTTCTGAACTAGCTTTTAACAACACTGCACACAACATCTTGTTTAAACTGATGTAACACTATGGAGTTTTTGGTTGATTGTTGTCCAGAAAAAGTTCTAAACGACAAAATCAACTTAAGCTCCTCCACACTTGTCTCTAGGTGAATGTCAAGGTCACTTCCGGTTCTTTGTTAAAACATATATATAAACCCTGCTACAAAACATTTCAGTCTGTATCTGATGATGCCTTTAATGGTGAAACCATGGTTGCAATAAATGGTGTACTTGTGAAAAGTACAGTTGTCTTGTGTTTCCTCAATTCTGTAGATACGTTTATAGATAATCCCTCAACAGAATATAAACTTTATTAATTTTGAAGCAACATATTCAACAAAGGCCACACCTTATATACAATAAACATGCTATGCTCAGAACATACAACTTTAATTTTAAAAAAAGAAGACAAACCTATAAACAGCATGATATATATATATCATGATTTTGATTAGTACAGTTAAGAAAGTAGCATGTGGGTGCATGCAAGTCCCAAAACAAAAACTTCAAAGAATGAAAAACATAATATCACAACCAACATCACAATTCTTATTTCTGTCAGACCTAACTTACTGTGTTCAAACTGTAATAATGCAACTACTGTGTAGTAACTTTAAATATCACCTACCTTCATAATAAAACTTGACTGATTTTGGTAGAGGCTCATAAGGTGGTGCAAGGACAGGACCACTGTGCTGAAGTGTTTTCCATTTTACACCCTCTGCATGTTTTTCTTCCTCCCACCTTTGTAAGGTAAACACATTATTTTTCTAATCAATAATGTATAGTATTTTAACTTTTTCTTTTTAATAAAATGTTTGAACTTAAACCAAAATTGGAATAATTACTTTACCATAAAGTCTTGGAGAAAGATATAATACTCTGAAGTGCAACAGTCTTCCTATCACATTAAAATAATGCTACCTTTACAGGTCATTAACACAGGAATCTTTTTCTGAGCATATCCCAAGATTTTGGTGAATTAGATTCAAAATTTAATTAAACTAATTTCTTATCATGGTATATGAATAAATTTGACACAAAATGGTAGCTAATAATCAAATTTTTACTATTATATATGTTTTATGTTCTTAATTTTAGATGGCAATATGAAAAAATAATCCTGAATTCCCCTAGTATGAGAATTGTGACATTTTCTTTCCAGGCATCCTCTCTTCTCTAATTTATTTACCACCCCTCCAAGAAGTATGAAATTCAATGTAAATTACTTATTATAATGTTGTCATCACTCAGACTGGTCAAACTCTTACAGAGTTAAGGTGGAAAAAATAACAGATAAAATATAAAGTTTTACTAAAAAAACTAGCATGGTTCATACTGAATTGCTCTGATCAATTTTAAGCACTTTCTAAGCACCCTCAGAATGTTTTTCAAGCACTTTTTGGAAGCTAAAATCTACATCAAAATCAACCAGATTCCATTGAAATTTTATAAATTTCCTATTTATTTGTAGACTAAAAAGAAAAGAAAGACTATTTATTGTGCTCAACTCTCCAACATGCATTAAAGTTAGATATATCGATATATTCTGCTATTATAATATTTTCAAGTACTTTTGCAAAAAAGGCTCCTTTTCAAGCACTTTCTCAAGCTCTTGAAATTCCATTCTCAATCTCAAGGACTTTCAAGAATACGTATACACCTTGTAGGAGGTTTTAGAGATTAGATAAATGAAATTTTAGATTTTTCAGATGAAGAAAAGTATTTTTAATCTTAATATGAAAATCACTTGGCAGTCGAAGCAGTCGACATATTGACTCTTTATATATTCATGGAGAAATTTTTAGAGAAAATAAATCATTGAAAATTACAATATTTTGTTTATAAAAGACTTATAATGATTACTGAAAACTTGAAAAATTAAGTGAAGATACATAAAACATATCAGACATTATAGTATGGAAACTATAAAGGTCAATTTGGGATCATGAACTTGGCTGATTAAAGCAAACTAGTAGGGAGAGAGTTAAAACTGAAATAATCAGTAGAGTAATGAAACAGACAAACACACTCATATTGTTGTTTTTCATAATTTAAGCATATAGAAAATATTTTACATTAATTCTTATAAATAGAGTTTTCAAAACAAAAGGCTTTGTTATAGAGTAACAAATTCAATTAAACGGCACAAACCATTTCCAAACTTCTTGCTCTTCTTTTTGTTTTCCTGATTTCCTTGAGCTGCTTGTTTCTGTGGATCCCTTTTTTATCTTCTTGTCTTCTTTCTTCACTTTTTTAATAGGCTAATGATGCAAAATGTGTAACATAAGACTGAGAAAATGGCATATATCTTTAACGACCAACAGTTTCTGAAGAACAAATAATTAGACTCCTCATAATATTTTCGTAACACTCCATAATATATTACTCAATATATATATATTACGATTTCCTACACTAGTAATCAAGATTGAGCATAGGCCCAGTTTTATAACTGTTCATATATAATTTCATTTATTATTTATACAAATTAGAGTTAATTGATTTTTTAATGCAAAATCTTAAATTCTTTTACCAAAAAACCCATGCCCACGTAAAATAAAAAATACTTGAGAATTATAAAACAGAAGCACTGTGATTACCATTAAAATATAGAAAAATGACGAATAAATGTTATAGAACCAAAAGTAATTTATATGCAGAGCTGACTTGGTTAATTTCATGCCTCAATTTGTGTAACAGGAAACTCTCTGTTTCACAGAAGTTCTGTTCATCACTGGACCCTTCTAAAATCTTAAACACTTGATCTAGTCATGGATCTCAAACATGCACATTCTTTCACATGATCTATCAACTTTCCTTTAGTGGACCTGATATAGGTTTGCCGACAGCGAAGTCCTTTAAGGATAATTATAAACTATTTTAGGTGACATACAGTCCTAAAATCTAAAAAAAAATGTAGACCACAATGAGGTTTCAAAATACATCTTAGCTATATTGGAGAATATGTCTTACAAAGTAAATTTACCAATATATTGCAAGGATACTTAAAAACTTCATACATGGATTGTTGATTAAAATTTCACTTAGTCAAACAATTATGAAGTATTCTGCCAATAACATATAAAATTCTTTATGCAAAACTTCATAATTACTATATATGTTGTATTTACAATGATCAGACTGATGGTGGTGCTACAAGTTCCAGGTTGGCACCTTCTTTAGCCAATCCTTTTCTTTGCTATCAAGAAAAACAAAGAATTGAAGACTTTCCACATTCTTTTCAACCCCTTTACTATAAATATATAGATGATACTTTTAATGGTTTTAGAAATTCTGATCAAGTTTCTCAATTTCTTGAGTACTTGAATAGTAAACACAACAATATTAAAATTCACCGCTGACCATCAACAATATCACAAACTTTCATTTTTGGACACACTGATTCATAAAAATAATGGTTAATTCCAATGTGAAGTATACCATAAAAAAATGTTTTACCAGCTAGTATTCTAACTTTGAAGGCTCTGTACCAAATGTTTTTAAAGAAAACTTGGTTAAGATTTTATTTCATCATACATAAGATATACAGTAGTTACAAAGTTTTGCATAAATAATTTAATAATATTCAAAGAATTCTTATGCAATAGTTTTCCTGTATAAATGTTATTGATAGAATACTTCATAATTATTTTGATAAGTGGAGTTTTAGTACACCAACCATAAATGAAGTTTCCATATATTCTGGTGTTACAACCTTGCAATATACAGTAAATATTCTTTGATTAAAAAAAAAAATCAGTTAAAAATGTACTTTGTAAGGCATACTCTCTAATGCAGCTAAGATGTATTTTTAAACCTTATTGTTGTCTAAAATTTCTTGAAGTTTAAGAATTGCGAATATTGCATTAAAGTCACCTAATTTGATTTATAAATTTATTTGTCCTCTCTATCAGTAAGGCCATATCAGGTCCATGAAAAGAGAATTGTTAAACTTGTGCGAAAGAACACTGATTGTACTTGAACATGCTCTAGATGAGTGTGATGTAGTCGTTCTATGCAAATAATTTTAAAACCTTAGTAAGGGGCAATGACAAACAAAGTATCCATACCAGAGAGAGCTTGCTCATACATAAATTGAGGCATGAAAATAACCAAGTCAGCACCACATATAAATTACTTTTGGTTCTGCACCATTAACATATTAAATACACTACTCTGTATGAGCACCTACATTTAATTCTAATATTATCTACACTTACCTTTAAATCCTCATCCTCTGTTTTTCTTTTTCTGTTCTCTGCTTCCTTGTTGTGTTTATCTTTTTTTTCTGTCTTTACTTTTATTTTTTCTTCTGAGTGTTCAACCTTAATTTTCTTAACCTTTTCTGCTCTGTATTTGATAAAGATTATAGGCTTGTTAGTGTCAACAAACTTGTAGTTTATATTCTAATATACTAAAGCTCATACACTTAATGTTAATGAAGTTACCACTTTTTTACATGCTACCCAAAAGTAATGATTTATAATAATTTTCACTTAAATTTGTCTCATGATTGTTAAACACCTAGGTAAGGGTGTTTGGAAAGACATCCACACTTATAGAAAGAAAACCTAGGTTCAGTGTGAGCATATATAGTGAATAAATATAGAAATCATCAACTATACAACATAAGACATTGGTATTGGGCCTTTTCATTTGTAAACACTATATTCTTAATCTAGTGTCTTAGTGATTTTCAAGAATTGGAATAATAGTACTCCAACCACACTATATTTGTTATATCCATTGCTTGATACAACAAACTGGGATACAACAAACACAGCAGTGGTCAGAACACTATTTATATAAGTCATTTGGTACAAGAAGTTATTATGGTGTGTACACATTTTACAAGCCAGCAAAGAATTATTACAATTGTACTTATCATAAGACCTATTACATTTTTAAACACTACTTTCTTAACTCTCTCACTATGGTTTCAGTCAATTCACCCAAGTTTGTGACCCCAAATTAACCTTTAGTTTCCATTCTGTAACTTCTAATGTCTTATGTACCTTCATGAAATTTTGCAAGCTTTCAGTAAATATTATAAGTCTTTTGCAGATAAATAAGAATTTTTAATGAAGTATTTTTACTATAAATTTCTCCATGAATATACAGAGTCAAAGTGTTGACAACTCCGAGTGCAAAATGATTTTCATATTAAGATCAAAAATATTTTCTTAATCTGAAATTGTCAAACTTCATTTGCATAATTGCTAAAACCTTCTAATTCAATTTCAAACGTTTTTTAAGTAATCTATATTTTCTCTGCCCTACCTCTATACAGGGCTGGTTAATTTGACCGATATTGTAACCACCATAAAAAAATCTAAGTTACCTCCTTTTTCTTTCTAGAATGACTTCAAAATGTACAAGGAAACTAGATGTGCTTATCCTAAATATTTTAAAGCTCATAACAGTATACATGTTTCTACTTAAAATTTTATTGTTTTATTGCTCTTTGAACTGTGTCTAAGTAATAACCCCCAATACACAAAATGTAAATTACTTGGCTAACATGTAGCTCAAATTTCTCTACTGAATTAAGTAATGCATGAGCTACTTGCAAGTGTACCTCGTAAACAATTTATTATTTTTCTTTATCTTACCTAATCTAACCTAGTTTCTAATTTTTACATTTTAGTTACTTTATAATAATAAATAAAGAATACAGAAGAAATAAATAAATTACCTGGGTACCTTTTTTTTTTTGCTATTGACTGTTGATGAAACATAACCCTACTTTTTTTATACTAATGATACTACTACACTAAATAATGCATCTATGAACACAAAATAATAACACATAAAAACAGACAATATCCTATAATTATTATAATTTTCCTGGCTTTCTAACTATGTGACGAGAGTTATTAAAAATTCAGCTAAGCTCACTGCTGTTTCCCCTGAGAATAAAGTTTGAACTGGAAGCAAAATAGACAGTTCTCTGTAAAGAAAACAATGTAATATAATACATCAGTTGACAGATTAAAACTCTGGTTTTCTATTGGTTCTAGATAATATAGAATTAAACATCAGATAGAACTATTGGCAACTTGTGAAAGAAAGGATATGACATGTTGGCATGGCAAGAGGGTTATGATTTTCTAGCTTAAAGTTGTGTAAGCCAATAAGATTAAAGGTTATAAAAATTATGCTTTACCTGAGTAATGACTATATAATAATGGGTAATTTCATTAAATTTTGAACTTCTTGAACATGTGGTAAATAAATTAGAGAAGAGGGAAGACCTAGAGTCACAATTCCCATACTAAGGGAGATTGAAGATTTGTTAAAAATATTTCTGTATAAAATTAAGAACTTCAAACTCATATAATATTAAAATTTTACTTATTAGCTATGTTCTGATGCCAAGTTTATTTGCATACCATGATAATAGATTAGTATAATTAAATCTTTAACATAACTCAGTAAAACCTCACAACTAATACAGAAAAGGGTACATTTATGGAAAGAGTTAATCTAGTTCCTATAGTGATTTCCAAAAATAATAAGTGTGTATAATAGTATTCCAACCACCTATAGCCCAAATGGTCTGAAGAGCTCCTGATTAAGTGAAATGCATTGTTGGCAATGGATTTGACAAATATAGTACAGTTGGAATACTATTATTATACACTTTTCTAATCTATACAAATAAATGTCAGTATGTGTGTGTATCTGTTCCTAATACATTTCCACATTTCTTGATCAATCAGCACCAAACTTGACAATGATACAATATAGCATAAGGAAGATCATGAGGGGGTGTTAAAAGAGAATAATATCTTTATACCGTGCAGCTAGTGGCTCATCATCTGAATCACCATCTCTTTCCCTCTTAATTTTCACTTCTTTGGTTTTTTCTGCCACAACTGTCCTCGCTGCCTAATAATGATAAGAGTTTGCTCATTATGTGAATAAGGTTAGGACTAAAAACTCAAAGGTTTATCTCAAAACAAAATATAGATGTACAATTATTAAATTTGTACAAACAAACACCATATTAACATTGGTGTTTTAAGGATTTACAATTTTTACAACTGTCCTTGCTCCCTAATAATGATAAGAGTTTACTCATTATGTTAATAAGGTTTGGACTAAAAACTCAAAAGTCTATCTCAAAACAAAATATTGATGTACAATTATTAAATTTGTACAACAGAAAACACTAACACTGGTGTTCTAAGGATTTACAAAATATCTCCAATTTTTTTAACCAAGTTTTTTAATATCCTAGAGCATAAATCCACAGGTTTTTAAAATACTGTGTAAGTAAGTATGGTTTTCAATATTACTATCTCAACCTAATCAATTTTGATAAGATACAGGAAAGTCATTGAGTTTTCAACATCGTGACATCAAGCCACATTTTCTAGTCTAGCTTTACACAGCTTTACTACAGTTTAAAACACAAAATATATATTTAAAGTCAAAGTAACCTTTCAATCATAGTAGAGCTATTATTTTGCTTTTTTTTTTAATAATTTATATTTTTCAGTTATTATAACTATACATTTAGTCTTAGAAGGATAAAATTTATCTTGAAGCTTCTTTCATGGTATTATATTGCATGTACTACATATACAAGGCTCTGTCCTACATTATATCACTTGTAATAAACAACATTATAAACTTATACTACTTCCACCAGCTGTAAGGTTTTTGCAAAACTCAGCAATTTTTATCTACAAGCAAATGTATATGTTTAATAATAGATATCAGTTAATCTTGAAAGCTAGAACATTTAAAAAGTGTAAAATATATTATAAACATTTAACTCACATATTTAACATTTTTAAGCCTAACTCATTCTTCCCCAACAGACTTTCTAACAGAAATTTTCTACAGAATTCTAGGAAAGTTTTCATGAGAAACAAGACATACATGTTCACAAAATATAAAAATAGGCTAAAGAAAAAATGCAACAACAGACAACTACGTCCTTAACCATTTTTGGATTTAAAAGTCATATAAAAAAATGACAAGTGAAGATGAAAAAAATTTCCTTTCTCTAAAGTTATAATATTTGTATCTTTACAGCTAGCAACAAAAAATATATTTGGTAATCTTTT